GCTGGGAGAACAGCGCGTTTCTCCCACAGGCGCGCCAAAGCGACGCTTCGCCGCTTGCGGAGATCCGCCAGCTTCGGCTGCGCAGCTGGTCGAGGTGCGGACACGCGGCGGACTGCGACGTCTGTTGCGACTTTCAAGAAGGGCTGCCCCTGCATGGTGGTCGCGAGTCAGGCGTCGCTACCCCCCCCCCATGGGAGGAGGGGCTACATCTGCGCTTTCGGCGACTGCGGCTCCGTGCCGTGCGGATTTCGAGGGCCGCGCGTTGGGGGGTCCGAAGGAGATGGATTGGGGGGAGTACGAGGGCACCCAGAGCCACTGGGACCGAGGCTGGACGGACACGACGAACAGGATGAGGATCGCGATGGGGATGATGCAGGCAGGGATGACCAGTTACGTGGCGGAGGTGAAGCACGCGGTCGGGCTGTTCTCTGTGGCGTAGGACGTGAGCGACGACGGTAAACAAGTGACGAATTCTCGGCTTATGCGGGATGCGCGACGTGAGAATCTATTATTTCGGAGGCCGCCTTGAACACCTTTGGGGTCGCCCTCCGTGCTGTCGGGGCTGGGGCTCACGGAGGACATGCTGGGCAATCGAGTGCTTGCGAGTTTCCAAAGGGACGTCGCAGGCTGGTTCGATTGGCTGCGATGGACCGATCGTCTGGCACGGTATTTTTGTACCAGAGGGGGGCGCCCCCCCAACGAGCTGTGAACCTTCGCCTCGAGCAGGGGGTGACGCTGCCGAAGACGGCAGCGGAACGCAGTGGCAGTCGGATCGGCGGTGCCCGTGATGGGCGCCGCGTGGCCGGTCTTTCTGGCGCGCTCTACCCAGATGGACTGCTTCGAACAAATGGAAGGTTGCTCTGCCGATCAGATCACCTCGGGGAACTCTTGCCCGAGCTTCGTTTAGACGGAGCTCCTGCTGCTGCTGTGCATCGGCGACTACGTAGGCATGGAGTTCGCGAGAGACAGGGAGGACCAAACTGGACGTGACGAAGGAAGAGGTCCGCGAGTTCATGAATCAGCGCGGGCTTGCGGTCCGCAAGCAGGAGGTGGGGGAATGGCTGCGACGAGGCCTGGGTATGTCGATCGCCGGCCGCCCATTTGGTCTGAACATCATCCCGACCTGATACAATTGTTTGGTGATTTGTGCGGAGGCGGTGCTGCTGCGACAGGGCTGCCCGTCCAGTGAAGCTGGCGTCGCTCGTGGGATACTGGGGGATGTTGGCGCGCCTTCCTGCCATTGCCATGATCGGCGTCCGTTATCGGTGGATCGGCACCTTCCTGGGGATACGGACGGAACAACGCCAGGTGATCGCGGCCGCTGGTGGGGGCGAGCTGACGGCGCTCTCGTCGCTCGCCATCTTCTGCGCGTCGAGCCTGGAGCTGAAGTGGCACGCGACGGCCTGCGCGGCCGGCGCGAGCGTCGACGGTTTCGGGGCCATGGCCGCGAAGTCGAACGTGGGCGAGATCAGGCGCGAGCTGGCCAGGGGCGTGGAGCAGGTGTGGCAGACCAGAGTGGATGTGGTTCACGCGGGCGCCGAGGAGGGTGTGGAGTCGCGCGGCTTGGAGGAGGACGAGATGATGCATCCGAAGGAGGGGCGGCCTGGGGTGCTGGAGCTTGGGCACGGTTTGCCTGGCCTCAAGCGGGCGGTGGGACCTCCGGTGAGGACCTGGGTGGGGCCCCCGCGGTTGGAGGAGCTGGTGGAGGTGGGCGTGGTCGAGAGGCTGTTCAGCAGACAGAGGGGGCGCCGGTGCTGGGTCGTACGCGCGGCCTTGTTTCCGGACACCTTCCTGGGCGGAAGGTGCCGAGACTGGGGGCCGCCCCGGGGATTCGAGGATGTCAGCAAAGTGGCTCTCCAGAAGATCAGCGTGGGCACTTGCTGGGCGCAGGTGATGGTCGAGGCGGGTCGGCTGGGGATGCGCGAGGGCCTGGGTTTTGTGATCCTTGCGCCACTGATGCATGGCGGTTTCTTAGGGGGCCCTTGGAGAGCGCGCGGGCTTCGGAGGGGGTCGATTCCGCGGGCGTTGGCGGGGGGCCAGGTCGCTCTCGCCAACTTGTCGCAGCTAGGGGGCGACGAGGGCCTCTGGGAGCAGTCGGTGATGCATCGCGGCTAACTGGTCAGCTGCGCGGGGGAGTTCGCCCAGGGCTACGCCGTGAAGTTGGGGCGGGTCGATTGCCTGTGGGGCGAGGCGCCGGCGTCGGCGGAAGCGCGTCGTCATCGTGGCCGACTTTCTGGTGTCCGTGGGTGCGCTGCTGAAGGGGCGGTCATCGGATGCGGCAGTTTTGAAGCTGGATCGCGTGGCGCGGGCCCCGGGCATCAGAAGCCACTGCCGATGCGCCCGGTCAATGAGATGCGGCGGATTGGCCGAGCCGGGACGTTGCCATCGGAGAGGCAGAGGGGGCGAATGGCGCCCGCAGGATGAGTGTGACGCCGATGTCGGTCAGGCCACTTTTGGCGCAGATCGGCCGGTAGGCTCGACGAGGCGCAGTGGGGCGGTATCGTGGTGGATCATCGCGCTTGCGCTGTTGCAGGTGGTGGAAGCAGTGCGGCGACGAGAGCGACCGCCACCTCTGCGACAGCGTGGTGCCGCGCCCTGGGGGCATTCTCCGAGGGGCAAGCCGCGCCTTAACAACATCTTGGTCGTCCGCGCAGTGGGCGGCTTCATCGACGTCGCATGCCAGCGAGAGGTCTGCGCCTTTCTCGTCGATTGCAAGGGGGCAAGATGGCCTTCGATGGCTGGGCGGGGCAAGGCGCCGGGCAACTCCGTCGGCGATTTATGCTGCGCGCGCGGGGGCAACTGCGCGCGCGCGCCCTTGGCTCATAACAGCTCCATGCGCGTATTCGAGGATCATCGAGGGGAGATGCAGGCAACCTTAATTGCACGCTGGGGCCGTGGGGGGGGGGGTGATGGGGGGGGCAGTTCGGGGGAGAAGGGCGTCGCGTCCAGTTCCAGGTGATGGCCATGGTGGTGGCGAACATTCTGCAGGCGAGCCATCTGCTGGAGGTGGCCGCGTGCATTGTGTAGTTGGACGGCTGGCTGCGTGAACGAGATTGGGTGATGTTGCGCGTGGGTCTTGCACGGGGCGGTGGCGTTGGTCTGCAGTTGGGGGATCTCGCTTCCGGATTGAACGCGAATGATGGCGGCGGCCGGGGGCGGTGCTCGAGCGAAGGGAGTTTCGTATCATCGTGCATGTGCCTGTTCAGGATCGTAGGTCTCATGGCCAAAGCCCCCGTTCAGGCTGGCTGCCTTTCGAAAGGTTTGGGGCCGAGTCCTGACGTGGGCTGGCCCTGGGGAGATGGCCCCCCCGCGAATCGCGCGACGTGCGGCGGCAGGCAGATTTGTAGCTTTGGGTGGCGACCTCGAGTCGGCGCGTTGCCGTGGGGGGTGGCCCCCCGCGTCAGTGCTGCAGCGCTGCGCCAAGTGCCGCGTGTTGGTGCTGGAGATGTCGGAGCTGGGCGGCCACCTGCGCGGCCTGGGTGCCAGCTTGCGGCGTCGACTGGCGCAGTCTTTGCGTGGCCGCGTTTGATGGCGAGCGTTTGATGGCGGCTTCGGCGAGCGGCCGAGGGCGCGATCTGCCTTTGCTCATGCTCGGGGGCCTGAGGGCCGAGGCGCTTCGCGCGCTCGCCCGCCCTCTTCTCGCCGTGACCCCGTGCTCGGTGGCGCCCCTTTTTTGTGCGTGTGTGTGTGTATGTGTGTGTGTATGTGTGTGATCGTGTGTGTGTGTATGTGTGTGAGTGTTGTTGTTGTTGTTGTTGTTGTTGTTGTTGCTGCTGCTGCTGCTGCTGCTGCTGCTGCTGCTGTTGTTGTTGTTGTTGTTGTTGTTGTTGTTGTTGTTGTTGTTGTTGTTGTTGGTTCAACATGATAAGAAAGTAAACTGCCTTTGGCAAACGGGCCTATCTCGGTTCTGCTGGGGGGGGGGAGATGCTCGGTGTTCCCTGGGCCTGACGGTTCAGGGGGCCTCAAAGGCCGCGGCTCTTGCTGCGAGTTTCGGTTGTTGAGGGCGCGTCTCATTTTCTCAAAGTGTTTTAGGGTTGAACGCCCCTTCGTCGTCACCTCTGTGGAGAAATATGCGCGTGAATCATCAGTTCTGCGTCTTGTATGCCAAGCTCTACGCGCCTGGCCTCTCTCAGCAATGTGCCGCTGCATTTCCATTTCTCAGGCTCCGAATATATGGTCGGTGTGAATAGTTGTTGCCGGAGTGTGGTTTACATGCCCCATCGTAGTCTGTTGGCCGCTCTCTCCCCCGTGATTTCCCCTTTGCGACCGATTGGGCCCAGGTCGGCCCCGCCGCGCCCCCTTTTTTTGGGGGGTGTCAGACGTGATTGGTGTTCCGTCGGCCTAGCAGTTCGGTGGGCCTCAGAGCCTGCATCCCTGCAGCCCATGTTGCGAGTTTTGGGTGCTAGTGGCACCGCTCATTTTCTCGATTTTGTCCGGGGTTGAACGCCCTCATCGGCGCCACCTTTGTGGACATTTATATATATATATATATATATATATATATATATGTATATATATATGTATATATATATACACATGTATCTATACAAATGTGTCTATCACGCGGCACGCACTCGGTCTTTTTCCTCACTATGCCGTTGCCCTTCTGGGCGCTCCGCCTGCCCCCATCGAAGCTTTTCGTCCCTTCCCCCGAATTGACACCCAGTAGATAGTCCGTGTAATTGATTCTTCTCCTTGCCAGCAGTGGATGGTCTCCTGGTCCACGCCCTTGTTCTCCCCTCGCTCCAGGCCCGCTCTTGCCCTGCGGGTCCAGGGCTCCCCCACTTTCCCCTCCCAGCTCTTGGTCACCGCGGGCCGTGCGCAAACACCTTTTCGTCGTTTGCCCTGTGTCCTCGATCATCCTCCCCCCAGTCCCCGTCGACGTCCGCAGCCTGCCGCGTCGACGTTCTTCTCCTCCTCCTCCTCCTCCTCTTCCTCCTCCTCCTCCTCCTCCTCCGCCTCCTCCTCCTCTTCCTTCTCCTCCTCTTCCTCCCCCCCAGGATAGAGACGCTGGCGGGCGTGGAGAGAGCCCAGTGCGAGGTGGTGGACGCCCCCGCCGCATCCGGCGAGGAGGAGCATCGGCCCCCCCGCGCGCGGCGCCCCAGAAAACACTCGGTGGACCGTGCGCGTCGGCAGGGTTTCTCGTAGTGGAATCTCGCCCTCTTAGGGTTCTCTTGGCCGTCTTTGGGTTCTCTTGTGGAGTCGTCCGGGGCCCCCTCCTGGGCCGTTTCGGGGCCGTCCTGGGTCTTCTTGGGCTCTTCCGCAGGCCCTGTCGGGCCAGCTTGGGGCTCTTTTGTCGGCAGCGAGCGAAGGGGGGAACTGAGAAGGAATATGCCTTCCCAGAAGGCTCGGAAGCCCCCCGGCCTCCTGAGGAGGCTTCTTGAAGCTTGCCCCGAGGACGCAGGCCACTCTCAGAAGGCGCTGGGGTTTTGAGCAGGCCCCTTTTCTTCTTCCTCCTCCTCCTCCTCCTCCCTTCTCCTCCCCCTCCTCCTCCTCCACCACCTCCTCCCTTCTCCTCCTCCTCCTCCTCCTCCTCCTCCTCCTCCTCCTCCCTTCTCCTCCTCCTCCTCTCCTCTCCTCCTCCTCCTTCTCCTCCTCCTCCTCCTCCTCCTCCTCCCTCCTCCCTCCCTCCCTGCCTCCCTCCCTCCCTCCCTCCTCCATGCCTCCCTCCCTCCCTCCCTCTCCCTTCCTCCCTCCTTCCCTCCCTCCCTCCTCCTCCTCATCCTCCATCTCCTCCTCCTCCTCCTCCTCCTCCTCCTCCCTTCGCCTCCTCCTCCTCCTCCCCTCCTCCTCCTCTCCTCCCTCCCTGCCTCCCTCCCTCCCTCCCTCCTTCCCTCCCCCCTCCCTGCCTCCCTCCCTCCCTCCCTCCCTGCCTCCCTCCCTCCCTCCCTCCCTCCCTCCTTCCCTCCCTCCTCCCTCCCTCCTCCTCCTCCTCCTCCTTCTCCTCCTCCTCCTCCTCCTCCTCCCTCCTCCTCCTCCTCCCCTTCTCCTCCTCCTCCTTCTCCTCTCCTCCTCCTCCTCCTCCTCCTCCTCTTCCTCCTCCTCCTCCTCCTCCTCCTCCTCGTCCTCTTCCTCCTCCTCCTCCTCCTCCTCCTCCTCCTCCTCCTCTTCCTCCTCCCTTCTCCAATCTCCCAGCTCCACCCCGCAGAGGTGGCTGGCCCGCGCGTGCGCCGCTAGAGTTTTCGGCCGCCGTACTTGACTTGCTTCACCGCGTCGCCGCGCGCGAGGCCGCGAGACCGTCAACAAAAAGAGGGTGCGCATGCTTTCAGGGAAGCGTAAAACTCGAGTTCGCAGGAACTCGGGTTCGCCGACGCACTTTCACGAACGCGTCCTGGATTTTGGTGGTCCCGTCTTCGTGAGATGTTTGCAGCCAGAGCTCGCGTCAAATTTCAGATTGTGCCTCGTCATTTTCATGATGGCCCAGTCAGACCAAACCGAGTCCCCCGAACCCGAGTCTTACGTCTCCCCGATTCTGGGGGGATCGGGAGTTCCACTCTGGAAGCTTCTCCATCGTCTTCGTCCTCGGTGTCGTCGTCTTCCTCCCGCTGCAGCACGTGAGAGTTCGCGCGCCAGCCTAGAACGCCAGGTTTTAGTGTGAGGTGCTTGGAAAGGGGGAGGACCATCCGTCTCTCTTCCTTCTGTCCTCCGACTCCTCCGCGGCCCACTTGGGCTCGAGCTTTTCCCTCGGGCCCTTGAGCAGGGCAAGCGCGCGGGGGCGCGCGCTCGCCCCGCGGCCAGGGGCCGCACAGGCCCACCCGCTGGCGGCCATTGCGCAGAGGGCGCATGGCAGCCAGCCCCGCGTGACGGCTCCTGCCGCCGGCGGGTGGGTCGGGAATGATGGCGCTGCTGCCGATGATCATCGGCGCTGTGGCGGCGGCCGAGATCGGCCGGAGGTGGCGGGGGCAGCCAGCGACGCCCACCATGCCACCTGCGGCCCGCGAGGACGGAGGAGGTCCGCACGGCACAGCCGCAGCGGACGGTGGGAGGGCGTACCCTCCCTTGCTGCGGGCGCTGGAGGAGGACCAGCGGCGCCGCAGCACGGCGGCGGCCACCCAGGAGTCGCAGCGCCGCCCGCCCTTGCCGGCGAAACCCGTGGTGGCCGCGGCCGGTAAAGGGCGAACACCTCCGCGGGGGCCTGCAGCAGGCAAGCCGGCAGGAGGGAAACGGCGGCGGCAGCGGCCGCCCCGCAGCCGACCACGTCCCCAGAACCACTGGGCGAAGGTGGCGACGGGGCGCCGCGGCGCCGCAGGAACACAGCATGGGAGCGGCTGGCAGGGCGGAGGCTTGCACCCCCCGCGATGCGTGAGGCGGCAGAGGCCGGCCCTGCAGCGGACCCACCCGCCGAGGAGGAAGAGGATGACGAACGGCATGGGTGGTTCAGCTTCGGCGACATCAGAGTTGGAGTCAGCTGGCTGGGAGGATGGATCACCGACGCGCAGGCGCCGGAGATCCAGTGGTCGGACCTGATGTGGAGCGGAGGAGGTCTTGTCGGCAGCGGCCTGAACACCCTCGGCTACACGGCTTTCGGGTCTGGCTGGCCGATGCTGTGCTGGACCACCTTCGCTGGCTTGGTGGTGGCGTTGGTGATCGGTCTTGGATACGGACTGCATTCGATAGCTTCGGCGATTGATATGTTGGTCTGTGCCCCACTGAGATGTATCGGCAGAGCGCTGGGGTGGTGTTGCCCCGACTCGAAGCCTGGGCCGACGGCGGTCGACGACGGCGTGGTGCCCGAGCAGGGTGGGCCTGCAACCTCGACCCCGGTGGAGAACGATTTTTACGCACAGCTGCGCGCCAAGGGGGCCGACACGATGCCGCACCACCTCATCGTACAGGTCGGGGGCACGGCGGCCAGATTGGAGAGGCCTGCGCTGAACACGGGCATCAAGTACAAGAAGTCCGGGGTCGCATGGCCCCACGAGCAGGTGCTCGCTACCACGTCGAGGAGGCTGCGCGACCTCCTGGAGGATCCCTAAGACAAGGTGGTGCACGTGTGCCGAGACATGCCCTGCCCCGACGACGGCAATTACGTGGTGCATGCTCCAGCCTTGTGGCTGCGTGGCGGCGGGCACGGACACCAACCTCGGCGCCCTGGCGACGACCCCCCCGAATCCCTGTTGGGGGGGCCGAGCCGCGGGCGCTGCGGCGTCCACAGCGTGGCCGCGGGTGCGCTGCAGCGGGGCTGAAGGGCTGCGCCAAGCTGTGCGGGGCCCTCGAGGGGCGTGGGCAGAGGGGCTGCCAGCGCGGGCGATGGAGAGGATCGGACCCGCCAGCGGCGCTGCTGAAGGACCCAAACTCGGAGACGGAGTCGGAGCCAGAGCACCGGCGCTGCATGGCCCACGAGGTGCTGTACCAGGAAGGGGGCACCATCTACTAGCTCAGCAAGGAGACTTGTCGTGATCGAACACGAGGCGAACCCATCCGCTTGGTCACGGAGGATGGTGAGGGGTCGAACTTCAGGGGCTCGGAGAAGGCGGCTACCCTGTGCTGGAAACGCACCGACACCTACCAGCGGGAGAGGGGCTCGAACAAGTGTGCCCATCTGGGATGCCACGCCCTGGGTCGAGTGATGAGCTGCGGGGTCCTGGCGTGTCTCGAGCACGACCTGGCAGCGTCAACCGCGTCCCAACTTGCGATCGCCTCCGACGGCCCGACGGCGGTGGCCGTGGGGGTGGCGCCGGAGCGATCTCGGGCTTCGAGGCCCCGCTCCCCCCCGCCGCTGGGAGTGCGGACTGGTCAGCGGGTGGCTGCGCCCTCAGGCGCGCGGCTGACGGCCATGGCGCGGGGGCCGCAGGGCACGGACACAGCTCTACGTGTGCCAACTGGTCCGAGAGGAAGAAGGCTGGACCGCCTACCGCACCCCGTGCATCGACGCGGAGGCCAAGGCCCCCACCAATCTGGGTCCAGTGGTGGGCGATCGAGTGCGGGAGGAACCGATGGCCGCTGGGGCCCCCGCGATCATCCTGCGCACGGGCACGCTGTTCCCCGACGGCATGGGCGACTGCGGCAAGTCGGCGAGCCCGGTGGCCGTCGCGCTGGCCAGAGGGGCTGTAGGACGTGAGGATCATCCATTGTGTATCCTGAGGCGCGGAGTTGAGGAGGCAGAGGCGGCGCGGGTTGAGGTGCAGGGGCGAGGGCTGGCGTTGCAGGGCCCACCAGCCCACCCACTGCAGCCGCCGTGGCGCGACGCGATAAGCCGCGAGGAGCTGGGTGGGCTGGCGAGCGGTGCTGCCCGTGACCGGTGGAGGCATCGCGGCGAGGGCGCGCTGGCCGGAGACTTGAAGTCTCGTGCAAGTGGCGGAGACCACCGACTTGATGTGGCCGAGCGGTGCCAGCACGACGAGGGCTGTGACGACCTGGGAGACGCATGCGACGCCATCGCGGAGTCGCTCGAGGCGCTGGGGCGCGACCGTGGGTCCTTCATGACGGACGAGAGGGTGGGCAACCCACGGCAGCTGGCAGAGGTACTTCGCGAGAGGCGAGGACTCAGCCAGGTCCACGAGGAGGAGGTTGAGGGAGGAGCTTGGCGAGAAGGACTGGCACGCCCGGTTCCTGGTGGCCCACAGCCCGGGACCATGCTGGCCCCGCGCTCGGGGGCGGTGGAGCTGCCGCCCAGGCCTGGCAGGGTGCCGGGGCCGCGCAGGGCTCAGGCAGGTGAGGTGAGTGGCTCGAGCGGCTGGAGGCCGAAGCCGAGGGCCACCGACCCGATCGCATCGGGCGCGGGCCTGAGGTGCGCCACTGTGCGGGCTGAGCTTGAGCGCAGACCGCCGTCAGGACGACCCGCAGTGTATCCCGCGCCACCGCCCATGAACCTGTACGAGCACAGGTCGGGGCCGACCTTCGGAGTCCCTGCGCGGCGGTCGAGGGTGAGCTTCGACGCGGAGGAGCACGGGCCGTCCGAGAAGGTCAGGAGATCGGCCGGCGCCCTCGGGGATGCAGGCGCCTCCGCAGGCGGCGGCGTGGCGAGTGTGATGGCGGACGTCGCATGCAACCTCGATTTCTCGAACAGGCTGGCGGAGGGCGCTGCAGCTGGGGAGATTGGCGCGCTCCAGTCTATCACCGAGGACCACGAG